AGCTGTTGACCTTGTCCCACGGTTCGACGGGAAATCATGTTCCTTAGCAAAATTTATAAAACAAAGTAAACTTGCAGATTCTCGCGTCCACCCCCGAGATAGAATAAACCTCCTTGCGTTAATTAGAAATAAAATTGAAGGCCAAACAGACCAACTTATAGCCAATCGCGGTGACCCAGCTGACCTTGATGAATTAATTAGTCTATTAAAAAATTCATTCACAAATATATTTGACATCGAGCACATTCATGATGAACTTAAAGGGATAAAACAAAAAGACGACGAGAACACCGTGGCATATGGGGCACGAGTAAGCGAAATTTTAAGTCGTGGAATCGAGGCGATTAAAGAAAAATATCAATCGTCGGAAGCCGTTGGAGTCAGATGTATTCTGAATCATGCTGCAACCATGGGTTTTACTCGAGAGCTCCGGAACTCTTTACTTAGCGCCCTTATTACTAAAGATAATCCGGTTTCATTGGGAGATGCGATAAATGTAGCTTCACATCTAGACCGAGAAACCGAGAATCGGAAAACATTATTCGGTGTAAATCAATCATCTTCTTTCATTAAAGCATCCGCGAAAAACGGTAAAATACATATAGTCAATAAAGATAAAGTAAAAAAATGTTATCGTTGCGGTTCACTAGATCATATAGTAGCCAATTGTCCGGTGGAGGAAAAAGATACCCATGCAGGAAACCCCCAGAGTTGACAAAGGGGCCAGGCTTGGGCCAGTACTGGGAAACCTAGCTTCGGCGTACCTGTATTGGCCCATGCGTGGGCCAGGCTGTTTAACCCAGCCTAGGTCATACCAATGATTACCCAACCTTGGGCCAAGACTGGCTAACCTAACCTTGGCCATTCATTGGTGACCCATGCTTGAGCCAAGACTGGCTAACCTAGCCTTGGCGATTCATTGGCGACCCAAGCTTGAGCCAAGACTGGGTAACCAAGCCTTGGTCGGCCCAATTATTACCCGAGTCTGGGCCAGAACTGGGTTCCCCAGTCAGGGCCACAATGATTACTCAAGGGTTAGCCAAGATTGGGGAACCTACACTGAAAAAAAATTAAGTTGATTCAAGAGAAAAATTCTTGAACCAAGAAAATAACTGAAGAGTTTAATTGTCTTCAATCAAAACGAAAAATTCTTTAATTAAATAAAATTTACTTAAACCAAGAAAAATTTCTTAGTTCAAGAATTTTTCTATTCAAATCAAGAAGATGAAATTCTTAAAAATTAATTACTTGATTCAAGTAAATTTTTTTTTCTGTGTAACCATGGCCGTTGAATGGCAACCTAGATTTGATCCAGAATTGGGTAACCTAGCCTTAGCCATTCAATGGGAAATTCAAACTTAATAAATCATTAAGTAATAGAATTTTAAACAATAAATATTTATTGTTTAACGAATATTTGCTTACAAATTCTAAAATTTAAAATTTATTATTTAACCAAGACAATTGCATATCATCAAAATTGATATAGTCTTAAAAAAATTAAAATATAATAATTTACAGCTGAATTTTTAATGTTGATAATTTTAAACATGAAAATTTATCATAAGATATTAAAAATATACAGAACAATGTACAAAGTTTAAAGTAATATAAGAACTTGACTCTTGAATTTTTTTAACTACATACAGTCGAGTCTCGTTATGAACCCGCATACAGGGGTGTAGGGGAATATAATTCTAAGAATTCGTGTACCCCCACTCTTTCAGCATACGCGACGGTCGTAAGTTGAACTTCCCCTACTTTTTAAGCGTGTGAGTGTGTACGTGATTTTTTCCAGTATCTCGTTATGAGTCCGTTTGACTAAAGTGGTTATTTATTAATGATATAGCCTAGTGTTTACAAAAAAAGTAACCTAAAAATACTTCTCCTATGTAAATAAACATTTTTGATACATAAAAAATTAATCGGTAAGTACTTTTACAATTAAAATTTTGAATTCATGTGGATGTACAAGTTTAACTATTAGGTTTATTTTACCTTATTTTATTTGTTACTTTAAAAAGTTATTGTTAGAAATTTATAAATTAAATTTTTTTCATCATCCAATTTTCACTGGATACAAGTAATTGAAATTAGCTTTACTAATAATAAATAAAACATGATATAAAAATATATATTAATTAATTACTAACTGTCGATAGAATTGAATAAACAAATGAATGAGTGTTTGTTATATCTATATAACCTTAAATTTGTGATACTCATGTCATGGATATTAATTAATTATTTATTTTTTTTTTTTCAAGGTCATGGATGATCCACCAATTTTATCCTTATCACAAAAAAGAAAATTCTCAAAAGACTCATCTGTTGATGCCACTGAGTCTACAATGTCTACACTGGCGTCTGATAGTCGAAGTTTACCTTCGCAAGATCATATTGTTAAAAGACATCAACCTAGTTTTACATTTAAAGAAAAGTTAGCTATTTTGAAAAGATTGGAGAATGAACCTGTTAATATTGTTTCAAAAGAAGTTAACATTAATGAGCGGACATTAAGACGGTGAAAAAATCAACGAAATGAGATTGAAATTATGAGCAATAAAGAGAATATTTCCGATCACAAGAAAAATAGATCACCTGCTAATGAAGAATTGGAGGATGCTTTATATATTTGGTTTCTGCAAGCTCGCACTAGTGGAATACCAATTTCTGGTACTATTTTAAAACGAAAAGCTATTGAAATTAATGATGAATTAGGAGGTGATAAATCTTTTAAAGCTAGCGATGGTTGGTTGGATAAGTGGAAGCATCGAAAAGATATCAGGTCATTGAAAGTTACGGGGGAAAAACGGTCTGCAGATTTTGAAGCTGGGAATGATTACGTTAAGAAACTGAAAACTACTGTTACAAATAAAACTCTTAGTAGAGCTCAAGTTTTTAATTTTGATGAAACTAGCTTGTTGTATAAAATGTTACCTTCAATGACTTTAGCTTCCAAGCACGAGAGTCAAGCTGCTGGTTTCAAATCTAATAAGGAACGTGTTACAGTTGCTGCTTGTTGCAACGCTGATGGATCATTCAAATTACCATTGTTAGTCATCGGTAAGTCAGCTAAGCCCCGCTGTTTAAAAGATTTATCGATGGCGAAATTGCCTGTTACTTACAAGTCTCAAAAAAATGCATGGATGGATGTTAAAATTTTTACTGAATGGTTCAAAGAAATTTTTGTTCCTAATGTACGCACTTTTTTGGCAAAAATGTGTCTTCCTCCTAGAGCAATATTGATTGTTGATAATTGTAAAGCGCACACTTATCTTAAAGATGGTGACATAGAAGTAACTTTCTTGCCCGCAAATGTGACGTCGATTATCCAACCCTTAGACCAAGGGATTTTGGAGACTTTGAAGAGACAATACAAATTGAATTTAATTAAAAAAATTGTTAAAGCTCAAGAAAAAGAGATATCATTAGTTCAATTTGTAAAAGATATCAACATTAAGGATGCAATATTTTGGATAGATGAATCGTGGCAACTGATAACAAAAAACACAATTTATAGATGTTGGAATAAAATTTGGTACGCGGAGAAGAAAAGTGTGGCAGTACAGACAGATGATGATCCGTTGGCTCTGACTTTGTTAAATTCTGTCGAGATGGACAAAGACGAGGTTTCCATGGAACAACTTCTTTTGGAATTGAGAAGAGTACGAGGATTTAACAGTATTGAAAAAGATTTTGTTTCCGATTGGGTTCATGGTGACGACGAACACGTCAGTGCCAAAGCGTCAGTAGTGAGGGCTTGTCTCGCACGACTGATGCCTAACATTGGAGGCCCAATGCAGAGCAGGAGGCTACTATTATCATCAGTAGTCACATCAGTGCCCACTTACGGAATATTCATTTCGGCTGATTCACCGGAAACCCAAGGACCAGTATATCGACTGAGTGCCCTACGAGTAGCTACTGGCTTCCGCACTATATCAGAAGAAGCAGTGTGCGTCATTGCTGGAACCCTACCTCTTAGAGTTCTAGCAGAGGAAAGACGAGCCCTTTACCAACAAAAAAGGTCAACTGCACTGAGCCCTGAAGAACTTAGAATTGAAGAACGGCAGAAGAGCATAGGCCTATGGCAACTACAATGGGATGCTGCAGAGAAGGGTAGGTGGACGCACCGTCTCATACCTCGGATCGACATTTGGCTTAACCGGAATCACGGTGGGGTCAATTACTATCTTACGCAGATGTTGTCGGGACATGGGTGTTTTCGAGAGTATCTACACCGCTTTAAGCACGATGACTCTTCGGAGTGCCCGTCCTGCCCAGGAGTTGCTGAAGATGCGGAGCACGTCTTCTTTGTATGTCCTCGTTTCGATCCACAGCGTGAAGAGTTGGAGAGGATCCTGAACCAGAGAATGCAACCAGATTCATTAGTGGAAGCAATGTTGTCGTCAGAAGCTGCCTGGAACGCTACCAACACGTTTGCAACAGAAGTCCTCAAAGACTTGCGTTCCACCGAAAGAAGAAGAGCAAATAGCACAAGATAGAAGGAAGGTAGTTAACACCTTAGCCACCAGAAGGAAGAGCAGTAGCTAGATCCTCCCTTCACGAAATAATGCCTGACGGCGGTTTCCATGAGGGATTAGAGGAAAGAAGGAAAAGGGGTTTAGGGTTTAGTGGGTAGGGGCGTTAGCGTCGAGTATTAGTATGACGCTGCGTCGAGTCGCTACATATCCAGGCCAACAACTATGCCTAGAATCAGTAAAAAGGACACACACACACACATACAGACATAGTGACACCCTCGCGGGAATAGTCAGGGAAGCTTCCTAGGACCTCAAAACGTCGAGATTTGATGAAAACTCGATTTTCGAAAAACGGGGTAAAACTAATAACTTCCCGATCTTTGAAAATTTTCAATTTTCTTAGCTGGAAGTTAAAAATTATACAAGGTTAAAGGTATTAAATAAAAGTAGGCAAGAAATTTTTAAAGTAGGTATCAGACTAGGTTTAGATTTAAATTTAAAGCACTCCAAATTTTAACGATTTGAATCATCATCAGTGAAACCGGGAATCAAGTTCTCCTTAAGATCAAGGTCATGGAAGAATTGGTAGGCTTTGCTCTTGTAAGTATCTATGTTAAGTGCATTGATGACGTCAAGTGGTAATTCTCTCCAGAGGCGTATCGATGAGATCAGGAATGAATGTCCGGTAAAAGGTAGTTGAGAAATTAGGAATTTTAAATCTGATATTGTTCTGTTTGGCAGCCACTCTCTCAGAACGTCTAATATCTAGTTACTCTTCGACAAACATGCTTCTGAGGAATCTAGGTTCACCAGAGCTAAAAAGTTTGTACAAAAAACAAGCTAAGATTAGTATCGCTTCGATTTGACTGTGAGTCATTGTAACGGGCGTCTATGAGGTGTTATATGCTCATCACGCTTCAGATTGAAAATGAATCATATGCCGTTATTTATCAAGCATTGTAACTTGTGATCTAGCCTTTTGGATATATCTATCAAGACCAAAGAGCAGTAGTCAATAATTGGAATAACCATTGCTCCGACCAGCAATTTTCGGGTTGAGGTAGATAGTATATTCTTCCTGTATTTGAAGCTATTTAGAGTACAATAGACTTTTCGAGAGATTTGTGAAACATGAAGATCCCAGGAAAGATTGGCTGATAAATGAACACCCAGATGTTTAGTTGAGCTAACATATGGGATAACATTGCCATCTACAATTATTTGAGGAAGATCACAAACCTTAAGTATAGCTTCAATTTCCTACTACTCCCTACAATCATCACTTTAGTTTTCCCGAGGATTAGTTCAAGACCCACTTCATTTGCTCAATCAGCTACTGCTTGAACATCCGTATTGATTTTATGTGCTGTATCGTTTAGTTGGGCAAGATTGAAATGATAGTATGCAGATTTATCGTCAGTAAAGAGACCATATTGACAAAATTTCAGCCGTTTCGTCACTCCGTTAATCATAATGAAGAAAAGAATGTTGCCCAGAATAGATCCCTGAGGAACACCTGAAGTAGTATTGATTGCATCAGATGTAGAACAATCATAGGTTAGTACTGCTTGCGATCTGCCAGTGAGATACGATAGGAACCAAGGAATAACCTCAGTTAAGAAACCTATTTGATACATTTTTATGAATAACACTTCTGGTTTGACGTAATCAAAAGCTTTTGAGAAATCAAATAGAATGAGGTAGGTTAATTCGTCTCTGTTAATGGCTTTGCGGACATCATCAGTCAAACGAAGCAAGGCTGCTTGGGTACTATGGTGCTTTGGCAAATCTGATTGATGTTCATCAATGATACTATTCGATTCAAGGTAATTCGTAAGCTGATTTGCCAATATACGTTCAAATATTTTGGCAAGATGGGATACATTGGCTATACACATGTCAATAGACCTATTGTAGATGTTCATGAGAAAAATCAAGATCTATGGTAGATGATCTTTCAGCCACTTAAGATCCAACCCATCAGGGCTTTTGCCTTTGGAATTCTGCACAGTGATTTGTAAATTCTTGGTGACATCTACAATATCAAACTTGGACCTGGTGTCATCGAGAACTTGTTTGAAATAAGTATCTCGAGCAGAGGCTAGTTCGAATTTCAATTCTTTCCGTTTTATCTTGTACTGAGCAAGAAGATTTTGATCTCCAGTTCGTCGTGCTTTTTTATATAGATTATCTCGTTGCCTAAATTTGTGCCTTAGCTCACCAGTTAACCACGGACTGCTTGGACGACTCGATTTCCTGGTGACAAAGGGAGCAAAATTATCTAAGGCTGATGTAATTGCGTTGATGAAATGTCCAACTAAGTAGTTTGGATCTAAGCCATCGAGGTTAGTATTAGCATTAGCAAGGTTCAATTCTCGATTTAAATTATTCGTAAGAGCTTCATGATCACAATGTTTGAAATCTCTGAACTTGACTGTTTTATCATATTTTGGTATCACTTCAAATTTATATTTGCAACATGAATAATCATGACCACCTATGAAAGGCATTTGAGACTTAGAATAGCTTTCTAATTTATCACTACTACCAACAACAAGTCAACTCCAAAAATATGAAATGTAGATCCATATGGTATGCAGTAAAGTCCCGAATCAGCAATGAAAGATTTTAGGTGATTTGATGGACGATCAGTTTTCATATAATTGCAATTCAAGTCACCCATGATGATAATATTTTTATATGATGGATAAAATTTAGCAAAATGTATAATAAAGCTATCTAATAATAATCCCTGTGGTCTTCTGTAAATAGCTGAAAGGAGTATGCGACAACTAGATGATGATAGAACATCAATTAATATGTATTCAGGATGGTTAATGTCATCAGCTTCAGATGAAAATAATAATTTCGATTTTAGAGAATTATGTATTAGGCACGCAACACCTCCACCTCTGATGTAATGACCATTTGAATTTATCAATCCACGGTCACGACGCAAAATTACATAATCCTTCAGTGCAATATGACTATCAGGAGTAAGCCAGGTTTCAACAACTGTAATTATGTGTGGTTTTAGCTCAGTAACTAGAGCTTCAAATTGGGCTGTATGGGTAGAGAAACTATTTATATTTAAGCTCAGAATATTTATTGATGACATAATGACATTGCTTTGACAAGGTAATTGCTATTCAAATTTGTCTAAATCTGCTTCAAAGCAAATTAAAAACTTAGATGAATCATCGTCCTTTTTTACGTAAATTTTACCCTTATAGACTTAAACATATTTGAACTTGCATTCCTTGGCTTTTATTTTTGTAGTTTGTAATAGTTGATTTACATGACCATGGAGAAATTCATTGATATAAATTTGTCGACCTGAAGCAATGTTGGAACTGGACTCGAAGATGTTTTTAATTTCAAGTTTCGGTGAGCGACGTTTTCTATCAATAATATGATGACAAATATCAGATGATTTCAAATGCAAAATGAATGAACGTGAGGTATGCTTTTGGTTTGAGACACCTTATTTCTTTTTGGCATTAAACTCACGAATGCTCAGAATGTCTGAGGTAAGATTTGCGACTCCAAGCTTATCAAAGACTTGATGAACTATCTGTTCTGGTGATTTTCCGACAACAATACTATCAGGAACACCAGATAGCAATAACTCCGAAGACATATGCTGATCAGCCATCTGATGAAAGGTTGTGATACCAGCCGTGGAATCAATCGCAGACTTGAGCAGGCCAATAGACGCAGAATTTTCGTTACATTTGATAGAATTTGCCCTTAATTTACTATTTATTTCACTTATATCCTTTTGCGTTGTTGCCTGGATTTTAGTTATGTCAGTAAGTGATTTATTAACATTATCAAGATTGTTGGATAGAGTTTTTATTTTTTTGTTATTCAGCTCCATCTTTGCAACCAGATTTTGAATCTCTCGACTATGCTTATCAAGATTGTTGGCGATATTTTGAATACTTGTACTATTCTTAAAAGACATGTCAAGTAGAAGATTCAATTTGTCATCTAGACTATAATTTGCCCAGTTCGGTCTGGCTGCACCAGAATGAATATCACCTGAATTTCCTTCGTTGGATTTTTCACCAACTTCATTAGAAACATCATCCATCATGGAAGATTTAACAGCAATTGGTGATAAGAAGACAGAATCGTCACCCACAGTAACAGATGGCGTTTTTGGCGATGAATTTATAGATTTGAAGCTAGAATGGGTAGACTCTTTACATTTTAGGTTGGAGAGACTGGATGGTCTAAGAGAAAATTGGTTCTGAGTAGTGGGCACAGAATTACAAGGTGACTGGGCTGAAGCAGCAATTTAGATAAAAAATGAATTTTTCAGAAAAAATCCTGTAAAATACATGTAACACTCTTTTTGTAATCACCATAACATTCGAAAAACAAAACTAATTCTTTTACATTTTATTTCAATATGTTCGTAAATTCATTGTGACAAACTGATTACAAAACCACAACTCTATTAAGGTAAAGCCTTCCTGGCTTGGTAACCGACCCCATATATTTTTTCAAGGTGTAACAGGGTAAAATTACCCTGAGTCGATAAATCACCAGATATCGATAATATTACGACGCAGCACTGGTGCGTCTCGATCTTCGGGCCTAAAGGGAGAGTAGGAGGGGGTTATTATAGGTGAGCCGTGCATTGCAACAGAGAGGAGTGGTGTAACCGCCAGACAGTGTGCCACAGAAGAAAAGAGTCATCGATCCCCGGAGTAGTTACCAGTCCAAAAAAGCCAACAATATTTAGGACTTCGACCTCAAGTATTAAGTAAGATCGTCGTTTATTCATCAAGGTATCAATAATTACTCTGTGGGTTAGAAGTGGACCACGGTTTACCTGATACCAGGTTTATTTCTCCTCTTTTTATATTTTGATTAATTATCTATTCCTGATTTAATTAATAATAATTCAATAATTAAGTAACTTCGAGTTATATTCGTTAGTCGGTGCTGAGTGGATCTCAAGGGGATCTTTACCCGAGAGTAACTCAGAGACCTTGCGGTGTAAAATTTCGTGGGAATTTAATTGTTAAAAATTATTTTACTAAATTATTTATTTAACATTTTGAAGATCGGAAGACGGCTTAGATTGTACATGATTTGCTGTACAATCTCATAAAATAAAAACCGAAGGTAAAATTTTTACGAAGAAAATTCCAATTGTCTTCTCACGGATTCTAGTCAAGCGTCGGTTGAATTTTACAACGTAGTTAATCCGTACCCAAGGTCAAAGTTACAAAGCACTAACGAATATATGGCATCCATTTTGAGCGCGCAAATTCTTATCAATTGTTTCACTCGATATTTTACTATGATCAATTGAATTATTATTTATTGCAAGATTATTATTTATGAACATTATATTATTTATTGCGAATTCAACTATTGAGATTTTGGCGCATTTGAGATTGATTTACTCGTAGTAATTCTTTCAATAATTTATTTTTGATATTGTGATCAATTAATGTATATTTATTTATTTGAACTGAAAATTGCATTGCGTTCTCTGTGCGGGGTCAGTAATGCGTTTAGTTTAGTTAGTCAAGTTTGGTATTGTTTTAAGTTTTGGGTTAGCCGCTCGTCAGGCCAGACGATCTCTGTCACACAGTGCGTTCCTTGTGCAGAGTAACTCTAATTGGTAAAGTTAGTAAGAACTAGTAATATTGTCAGTAATTATAGTGTGAATGTGAGTGTGCGCAACTTGTTAAATAATTTTGTTGTTGGCGCCCCTTTTGTAACTGATTTAGATTTCATTTTTGTTCATTTTATTATTTCATTTAAATAAAATTAAGGGGCCAATTGTACAGCATATAAAACTGTAACGAAGGTTTGTCTTTGCTCTCATTTCGTTTCTATCATTTCTTTCATTCAAGGAACATCTTTATAACTCGAACAGATACCACAAGCTTTCAGCTTCACTAATATTCAAGTTCGATGGATCCCCATCAAACTTATGTAAAGAGAGAATATCTCTCGACCAATAGGGAAGATAGAATGTCCATCCGTTGGCTTGAATTAGATTTACTAGTCACTTGACCGCTAGGTGCAAAAACTTTAATCGTATATAATTTTTATATTAAATTTTAGCGTCTAACTATACCTCCCAATTTTCAAAGCGGTACCCATAACTTGAACGAACTGAGGCCGTATAATTTTAACAGCACTCTAACCTCTAATGGTTTTATAGATTAGTGATCATCATTGTGATTCGTATTAATTACTGCAAATTACATAAGTTTTGAAGCTAAAAATTAGTGTAGTGAAAAATTATTGAACGTTTTGAATTGATTTTTTTTTATTTATAATTGAAAATTTGCTTTGTCATTCATAAAAAATGTAATTAAAAAATTAAGTACAAATATTTCTCATTTTTAAATGAACATATTAAATATTCACAGTATTATTTTTAATATTATTGAATAATATGTTATAAATCTTTGGATATTCCAATAAAACGTTGAAAATTTTTGGTGTGCCTATTGCCATATATTTTATTAGTTCAACTACTGCTTCCGAAGTGTTCAACTACTGCGGCTTGTCAGAATTGATTGTTCAACTATTACTTCTTTCATAGTCTATCTTAAAAACATTGTCAAAATATAAATATTCAATTGTCTGCGTTATTTTGCGCTTTAATCAATTTAGAATTATTTATATTTTCATAAAAATCACTAATTATAACTAATAATTAAATCTTTATGTATTAAAAGTAGGGTCAAGTAGGTTTTACTTTGAAAACTGTTCAACTACTGGGTACTTTACTTTATTATTCGTTTGATTATAAAATAATAAAAATGTGTATTGCCGAAGCTAAAAAATTTACATCTCAGACTGACATATATAAAAAAATATACAAACTGAGTTAGTGAAGACCTGCTTCTTCTATCGGTGCGTGCTAGATGGCGTTAGCAAAATTTTCATTCTATCCGCGGGAATTTTATTATTTTGTAATCTAACAGAGTATTGTTTTTTGTTTTTTGTTTTTAACTTCCCGCTAAGAAAATCGAAGATTTTCAAAAATCGGGAAGTTATTGTTTTCACCCCGTTTTGCAAAATTCGAGCTTTCATCAGATCTCGACGTTTTAAGGCCACAGGAAGCTTCCCTGATGACCCCCGCGATGTTGTCACTATGTCTGTATGTATGTGTGTGTGTGACTATGTGACTCGCTTATAACTTTTGAACAACTAAACTGATCGGAACCTACCAAACGGCGTTCTAAAGAGTTCCCTCAAACTTAGATCTCCTGTGAATTTGAACCGATTCGGATCGATAGATTTTGAGAAATTTTTTAAAATCTCAAAAAAACTGAGAAAAAAATTTTTTTTGAAAGTGGTTTTTTTGGAATAACTTCTAAACAGCTTTATCGATCAATTTCAAAAACTAATCAGCTATTAACATCGGAAAATTTTGTCGATCGCCGTCAAGCCGGTCAAAATCGGTCAATTCGTTCAAGAGATATCATGAGTAAGGCCTCGTGATGTTGTCAAAACATTTGGCAACGCAGGTAGGCTCAAAGATTATGGGGATTACAGAAGACAAGTAACAAACGAACGAGACACATACAGGGATAACTAAATAATATTATAGCTCAACAGGCCTTGCGGCTACACCTCCCCGCATGGGCCCCGCTGGGCAACTGGTCGGATTGTCATTATATTACCGGCCAGGCCAACGTAGTCGTTGAATGGAGTTGTATAGGGGGTTTGATACAGTCCCGGCGAGTTGACGGTGCTTTTGTTTGGTGAGATTTGGGTTTTATTTTACGTGCGTGTATAGCTTTTTAAAGCCCAGGAAACGGCCTGTTCGAAAGGAGGCAGACGAAAGTCTCACCAAATAACTCGTTCAAGAGATATCGTGAACGAAAGAAAACCGAAAAAAGTGTTTTTTCAGAAGTACTCCAAAAGTCCTAGTTTTATCAATTTAAACTTGTAGATTTTTTGTGAGGCTGAAAAAACTGCGTCAAATGCCACCAACTGCGTGACAATCGGTTAATTTGTTGAAAAGTTATTGCGGTTTGAAAATTCAAAAAATATTGTTCTATGAAACTTCTATCAGATTTTCAGAGCTCGAAGAGCTCAAAACCATAGAAAAGCTATCTCTTTAAGCTCGGA